AACCTTAGGATACTCCCTTTCCCCCTCCCCCGTATATTACTCCCTCTTTATTTTCTTTTTTATTATGAAGGGCGACGAAAGAGAGTGGGCGTCTTTTCTGAACGCGAGACGCGGACTTTTTGTCTCGGGAGTATCCGGGATCTTTACAACGAGCACAGAGGATAAGTCCCTGAAGGTGGAGTTTGAGGCTACGGTGAGAATGCACCCCACGCACCTCCCGCTGGGCTTCGACGTAGAGGCGCTGAAGGCGGAGAGGCACCGCCTGCAAACCATCAGGAAGGCGCAAGCCATCGCGAGAATAGCAAAAGAGTACGCGGAGAGAAACAAAATCCCGTACGAAGAGATATCAGCAGATCCAAAGGCGTATCTCGAGAAGCACCGAGCCCAGAAAGACGCTTTCAGCACCCTCCTGAAGATAAAGAAGCTCTCCCTCTACAACGAGCAGACAGTCCTCCGGAGAAATGTCTACCGAGGGATCAAGGAAATCATCAGCCCAGAAATCCTGAGGCGAGCAAAGTCCTCGCAGAAGCACAAGCACGAGAACATGTACGACCTCCGCGTACTTTCCGACCTGGAGACCCGGCACATCGCAGCAGGAGAAGCAAAAAAAGCCGCCTGGTGGATTCGAACTCTCCAGGCAGTGAAGCAGGGAGCCCTCAAGTCCGTCCAGGCGCAGAAGGACCAGGTCGCAAACCAGCAGAGACTCTTCATAGCAGTCAATGCGATCCACGACAAGCACAGGAAGGAGCAGGAGAAGGCCCAGAAGAGGGCAGAGAAGGCAAGAATCCAGGCCCTAAAGTCAAACGACGAGCAGGAGTACCTAAAGCTCATAAAGCACCAGAAGAACACGAGACTCACGCACATCCTGAAGAAAACGGACGAGTACACAAACATCCTGAAGAGAAGAATTAGGATACAGCAGGGAGCACAGGAGGAGGAAAGCACAGGAGATTACTTCGAGGCAGCACACGCTTCGAAGGAACTCGTTAAGGAGCAGCCAAGATCCGTCTCATACGGACTCCTCAGAGAGTACCAGCTTAAGGGCGTAGAGTGGATGGTCAGCCTATACAATAATAACCTCAACGGAATACTCGCAGACGAAATGGGCCTCGGAAAGACAGTGCAGGCAATCGTTTTCATCTGCTACATCCTCGAGAAGAAGCAGGAGAATGACCCCTTCCTCGTAGTCGTCCCCCTCTCCACGTTCTCGAACTGGGAGGGAGAGTTCGCAAGATGGGCACCCTCCATTCGCGTTCTCCCGTATAAGGGAGATCCCTCGTACAGGAGAGACTTAAAGAGAGAAACAGCAGGGAAGTACGACGTACTGCTCACAACTTTCGAGTATGTGATCAAGGATAAGGCTTTCCTCTCGAAGACGAAATGGCTCTACACAATCGTAGATGAGGGGCACAGAATGAAGAATTCAGGGTCCAGACTCTGCGTAGTCATGAATACGCACTACAAGTCAAAGTTCAGGCTTTTGCTCACAGGAACTCCCCTGCAGAACAGCCTCCCAGAGCTTTGGTCCCTCCTGAACTTCGTCCTCCCGAAGATATTCTGCGCAGGAGGAAGCTTTGACGAGTGGTTCTCAGCCCCAGTTGCACACGCAGGAGAGAAGATAGAGCTGAACGAGGAGGAGGAACTGCTCATCATAAAGAGACTCCATAAGGTGCTGCGGCCTTTCCTTCTGCGGCGACTGAAGAAGGACGTGGAGGCAGGACTCCCGCAGAAGGTAGAGACAATCATCAAGTGCAGAATGTCTCCCCTGCAGAGGGAGCTGTACAGAGAGATCAGAGCCTCAGCAATTAGTAAGAGCGAGACAGCGAAGAAGCTGAATAATACGGTCATGCAGCTCAGGAAAATATGCAATCATCCCTTCGTCTTTGAGGCAGTTGAGGACTTCGTGAATCCGTCCCGCGTTAATAATGAGCTTCTCTACAGAGTCAGCGGGAAGTTTGAGCTTCTCCGGAGGATGGTCTACAAGCTCAGGGCGACAAACCATAAAATTCTCGTCTTTTTTCAGATGACGCAGATAATGACGATTATGGAGGATATGCTCGTAATGGAGGGAGTGAAGTACCTGCGCCTGGATGGGGCAGTTAAGAGCGAGGAAAGAGCTGCTCTCATCGCAACCTTCAATGACCCGGCTTCAGAGTGCGCAGTCTTTCTCCTGAGCACGCGCGCAGGGGGACTCGGACTGAACCTGCAGATTGCGGATACGGTCGTGATATTTGACAGCGACTGGAACCCGCACGCAGATCAGCAGGCACAGGATAGAGCCCACAGAATCGGGCAGACGAAGGAGGTCCGCATTTTCAGGCTCGTCACAGCGGAGACAGTCGAGGAGTACATCCTCGAGAGGGCAAATCACAAGTTGCACGTCGACGAGAAGATCATCCAGGCGGGAAGGTTCGACAACAGGACCACGCACGAGGAGAGGGAGGCTCTCCTGCGGAATATTTTCGAGGAGGGAGGACCCGGAGACGACGCCTGCACAGTCACAACGGACCAGGAGATGAACAGGATCCTCGCGAGGTCGGAGGCAGAGCTTTGGGAGTTCGAGAGGATAGACGCGTCGGGAGTCCTTGGGCCGTCCGACCTGTACGCAGGACCAGCACCTTCGCTCCTGGAGAGGGAGGAGAGAGAGGAAAGCGCCGGGAAAAGGCGGAGCTCAGCGAGAGGGGGCGGGAAAAAGGGCGTGGGCGTGAGAGGGCGATGCCAGGAGATCCTCGGGGTGCTGGAGAGAAGCACGGCCGGGGGAAGGAGAAGGGCAGAGCTTTTCCTGCGGCTGCCAGATCACGAGATGTACCCGGACTACTACCAGGTCATACAGAACCCCATCTCGATCGAGGAGATCCGGGAGGGAGAGTACGAGACACTCGAGGAGTTCGCAGAGGACGTCCGGAGAATGTGCAGGAATGCGATGACGTATAACGCAGAGGGAAGTACCGTATACCAGGACGCAGAGTACTTCCTGCACGTGCTGAATACGATGACAGAGGAGGGCGAGTAGCGCAAATAATAAAGGGTGCTTGTATATCCAGGAGTCTTTGGAGTATGAGTACTCTAGTGGTTGTGTATGTTATAGTGTTATAGTGTTATAGTGTTATAGTGTTATAGTGTTATAGTGTTAATGGTTAATAGTTAGAGTGTAGTATTGTTAATGTTTAGAGTATGGTATTGTTAATAGTTAGAGTGTAGTATGCTTAATAGTTAATGGTTAGAGTTAATAGTTAGATTATAGTATTGTTAATGGTTAATGGTTAGAGGTAGCATTATAAGTATAGTATTATAAGTGTATAAGTATGTTAGAGTGTAGTTAGAGTATTATAAAGTGTGCTTTTGTGAGAGTATGGTTAGAGTATTGTGGTTAATGTTTAGAGTGTAGTATTGTGGTCAATAGTTAGAGGTAGTATTATAAGTGTAGTATTATAGTGTAGTATTATAGTGTATGATTATAGTATTATAATAAGTGTATGTTTGAGAATGCTATGACGAGTATATTTTAGTGCTTTAGTTGCATAGAGTGTGTTTAGAGTATGTTTAGAGTATAGAGTGCATTAGTGTGAGTGCGTCCTGGCGGGGGCATTGCCTGATTACTGCGTGTTTTGCCCTTTCATCGCGCCTTCCCAACAGAACGCAGTGATCTGCCTATAATTTTGCTGTATCAATGGCTGCTCGTGCTTTTTCCATGGACTTTTATCGGGCACAGCATAAGTTTGAGCATAGTTTCCGGGGAATGGCTTCCTCATAGAAATCCCGCACTCCAGTGCCACCGACACTTTTTAGCAGCGCATATAGCCTGAATTAGCATGTTTCCACAATGACTTCGCTCTCTCCATTTCACAAGTTCACTATATCACTCTCACAATAGCAAATAGCACAGCACTACTTCCCATAATCTCGCCATGCAGTATCTCTTTCTCCGAATGTTTTTCTTTATTTTCTTATACGAAGCACACGACAAGAACTGCGATTCCGCCAACAGTGAGGGCCTTCACTGCAAGACTCCCGCTGTTCTCTCGGATACTCTTCAGGATGCGCTCTCCCCGCGTCTTCGTATCCTTCTCCTTCTCCTTCTCCTCCTGCATCTCCATGAGCTCGTGCATGATTCCTCCCCTGCGCCCCTTCTGCGCCTGCGTTGAAAAAACCCCCGCATTTACGCTGTAGTCGCTGAAGACGTATCCACTTCTCTCCAGGAGATCAATCACGCGGTCTATGTTATTCACCGTGTAGCTGTATCTATCCCTGAGCACGAGCACAAGCCCATCTCCCTCGACTGGACTGTGTCTTTCCGGGAGCAGTTTCTCCATCGTCTGCAGGAAGTTCGGGTCTGCGTAGTCGCACGTGTCGTAGTTTGGCTCGCAGACGGTCATCCCGAGGTCTATGCAGAACTGCATGTCGTCTGAGTAGTATCCCTGCCTCGGGAGTCGAACCGAGTCTGGGGCACTTCCGATGACTTTCCTGTATTGGTCAAAGGCCTTCTGCACGATGTCCCTGGCCTCTGCTGCTGGGACTTCTGTGAGGGACTTTTTGCTCTGGACTGACAGTCCTATCGTGTGTCCGTGTTTCAGGATCTGGGTGACTATTTCCGTGTTCTCTGAGTCCACTGCGAATGGGTCGATGTAGAATCCGCAGCTGATTCTGTGCTTCTTCAGGGCTCTGAGGAGTCTGGGGGTATTCTCTGAGGGTCCTCCGTCGAAGGTGAGGGAGAAGTGTCCGGTGTATTTTCCGCCCCTTCTGGAGAGCGTTTTCTTCTTTTCTGATTCCTGGATACGGACTGTTTCGCTGAGGAGGTCATTCAGAGCATTCGGGTCTGAGTCAAAGGCTGCCTCCGTGAGGACTCTCCTGATAGTTTCTGCCGGCTGCTCTTCGATGTATACCTGCGGGTATTCGGGGGATATGATTTGGACTGGCTGATCTACGAAGTGAATCTGCTGTATCTGGGGCATTTGCTGGATCTGGGGCATTTGCTGATACTCTGGCTCGTGGGGAGGCATTGCTGAAGTATCTATGAGCTGGAAAGAGTTTGGGTCTATGTTCAGGAGCTGGGCAGGATCTACTTCTACGTACTGATTCTGCTCTAGGTCTATGAACTGGACCGGCTCCATGAACTGGAGGGGATTGTTATAGACGGGGACAAACTGGAGAGAGGGGACTGCTGATAACAATATTGCTGATAGTTGTAGAAAATTCATGATTGTAAAAAATCAAAGTTATTTTATACTTGTGGATTTTCCTTTTTTGGAAAATATGTGTGGGTTTCTGTATTGGGAATTTTCTGTTTTTGATGTATAATATACTCCTAAAAAGGAAAACCCACCCACTTACAAAAAACACGAATGGGCCTGCTGCACCCTCCGGATGTGCCCTACTCCTATGCGCCCGCGGGCTTATGAGTAGCATATTTATGCTTTGCTCTATACCATACAGTTATACTCCATATTATTTCTCTACTATATTTTACTTGATATTTATCTAACTATTTATTTATAGTTTTATTTTTCTCTACTACGTTTTGACTCTATTATATTTCTACTATACCATAGTTATACTACTACTACTATATTTTAACTATATATATCCTACCCTTCTATACTTATACTTATACTTCATT